CTCGGCCTCAATATCAATGTAATCAACCAGGCTCTCGGCCTCAGTATCAATATTAAACTGTTGCGGCGCGCAGTCCGATCCATGCTCAGTCCAGAAATCATCATAAGCCCCTTGGGCATTTGTAAAACAGTAGTTCTCAGCCCGAAATATCATTTAGAAATATCATTTAAGTTTTCAAATCTTAGAAAGATGGCTGAGTTTGCAAAACAGTATTTAAAACCTTGGACTGAGGTCAAATGATATGCAAAATATGCGAAAGCAGTGATATCAATCCCTGAAGGATTCAAATAATTGGCAAGAAGCCCAAATGTAACAATTCAATCCAAGTAAGGATGATTCTCAATTTAGTTCAAGTAGAAAAAACGGTAAAAATATCTCTCGGGATGGACCAAGTCACAATCCCCAACGGTGCTCTACCCCACGCCCGTTATCCGGCGTGCAAGTCACCTCAATATAGCGTTACGATGTGAAATTCCGGGGTTTCAAACCCTTAGGACATCAATTACTCACCTCGAACCGGCTAATTCTCGAGCTCGCGATGCCTTTGCCCCTTATTGACCTCTGAATGCCTCAAATCTAGCCATAACGATTCGATCCAAATAATAAAAATTATAGGAATTAATTCCATATGGAATTCTACATTTTCCATAAAAAATCCCAAATAACACTCAAAATTCGCCCGTGGGGACCACATCTCGGAATACAACAAAAGTCACGGAATATGAACCCCCATCGAACCACGACTCCAACCATATAAATTTACCAAAATCCGACATCGGGTTGACTTTCAAATCTTAAAAATTCATCTTTAGAGAATTTTAGAAAATCATCCATTTCTCTTCAAATATCAATAATCTAAAGCCAAAAATGAAGATTTATTCATGGAATATAATCACAAGAGAGTCAAGAACACTTACCCCAAGAATTCCCATAACTTTTCGCTCAAAATTGCCCAGAATCCGAGCTTGAAAGTCCAAAAAATGAAAGAAAATCGGACTGCTCTTTCTCTACATTGTCCAGAATTTTCGGCTACTATTCACGCATGTTACTGTACACGGTACTGTTCACGGGATACTATTTCTGTAATTTTTTCAAATTTTCCTAAGTCCGAAATCACTCCGAAACACTCCCGAACCCTCGGGGCTCCTAACCAAACACATACACTAACTCAACAACATCCTACGAACTTAACCGTGCGATCAAATCTCCAAAATAACGTCATATACCACGAATTAAGCTTTAAAATCTAAGAATTCTTTCAAATTTCATAAAACATCAAATTTTCCATTTTTAGTCCGAAACACGTCAAACGACGTCCGTTTTCAACCAAACTTTACAGAAAGTGCTTAAACCATATATCCTGTATCGGGCACCGAAACCAAAATATGGGCCCGATACCATCACTTTCTAATCAAAATTTATTTCCATTTTTCTTAAATATTTTCAGAAAGCAATTTTACTCAAAAATTCATTTCTCAGGCTTGGGACCTCAGAATTCGATGATTCTTATTCCTATGAGTCACAAATAATAATACGAATATAGCCCTTCAGTCGAAACTCAATTCGGAGCTCATTTGCTCAGTTCAATACCCATTTCGCTCGTTAAACAATTAACTCATGTTTCGCGTCAAAACCCAATCGCGACTTGATGAAATTAGACCAAACTTTCCAGATCACTCCTATAATTCATTATTTAAATTCTGAAAATCTCGAAATAAAATTTCGATCTCTAAAACTAAAAATGGACATTTGGATCATTACATGCTCATAATCGAAACGCCAAAATCTTCCAAAAAGTCTTCCAAAACATATCCGAGCCTCATGGGACCCCGACCAAACATGCCAACATAACTCATAACATCATTCAAAACTGTTCCAATCATCAAAACACCTCAAACAACATCAAATTACCCAAAATTCATCGAATTCAATCCTAAGTTTCCAAAAACTTCCGAAATACATTTTCGATCAAAAATCCGACCAAATGATGTCCGAATAACCTGAAATTTTGCACACACATCAGAAATGACATAATGAAGCTACAACAACTCTCAGAATTCCATTCTGACTCTCGGATCAAAATCTCACCTATCAACCGAAATTCGCAAAAAATCCAAACTTCGCCAATTCAAGCCTAATCCTACACCGGACCTCCAAAATTACTTCCGATCACACTCCTAAGTCACAAATCATCCCCCGAAGCTAACCGAATCATCGGGATTCAAATCCGAGCCCTCTAACACATAAGTCAACGTCCGGTTGACTTTTCCAAAACAAACCTTCCTTAAAGAGACTAAGTGTCTCATTTCCTACTAAAACCAATCCAAATCAACTTGTTCACACCCAACACTGATAATGAAGCATAAAGAAATAGGAAATGGGAAAAACGGAGCGGTAACCTATGAGACGACAGGTCGGTTCGTCACAATCAAGAAAAGAAAAAACGGAAGTGGTCTCGTTTTCATTTTTTATATATCTTTCTTTATTTTTATTTATTATATTGCATTTTTTTTCTCAACTTCCAATCACCTTTTCCCATGCCACCCTTCTAGATAATTCCTCCAACAAATTTATCACACACACTACATGGACACGTTATTTTGATTACATAATAGGAACCACACGGTTTGAACATTTTGCTTCCTCTCCAAGCACAATCTGAAAACACACATAAAAACTCACGGGCTCTATTCATAAGAGGGGGCTTCATTACAAATTTCAGGAGGGGGGCTGAAGAAACAGGGGAATATAACAAAAAATATAGATAGAGAAAGCATCAATCGGAAAAGAAAGGCAGCAAAAAATACTCTAACTGAATCCGTCTCTTTCTTTCTGTTTAACCGTTGATAACACCCATTTTCCACCATTAAAAGCATCTCCAAAACTCCAAAAATCAGTAGCCTTCGATCATCTCCTTTCTCATTATCCCCACCATGAAAACCTCCATTACAACATCTTATTCATCACCATTAAAATCATCTCTTGAAGCTCCATGAAAATCTACCATAGAACAACCCCAAAAATACCAAAACAGATCCAACATCAGTCCTCGAGGAAAGAATTTCGAATTGGTCGAGGTTCATCGAGGTCGCCGGCGCGGTTCACTTTTCTAGTCAGCGCAAGCAGTAGGATTTTCTTAAAGTTTCTATGTTAACATTATAAATTTGCTCTCCGTGAGGTCCAATTCTTTCTCTATTCTCTTATTTCCGTCACTTTCATGTGTGCTTTTCTGGTGAGATGATTTTGATAGTTTGTTTTCTTGACTAATATTAAGTAGGCTGGTACTCCGTATTTGATTACTGTGGCTCAATATTTGTTTGTTTTTGGTAAATGTTATGGGTTTTAGTTTGTTCAATTTTTATCCGACATGAATATAATTTTGATTAAGGTAAATGGTTGTGGGGTTGTTCAGACAATTATTATTTGGGTTCAAATGTGCTTAGTAAAGTTTTGACTTATTTTAATTAGACAAGGAAAATCGTTTCTTTTGTGTTGGTAAAGTCAAAAGAATGTTTGAATATTGAATAGATTTTACATCATTTTATATCTTTTAATTAATGAATCGCTAGGTGCATGCGTATGCCATCATCACTTGGGTAGACAATTCTTAGAATTTTTGTTAGTTTTAAGGCGAGAGGTCGTTCCCTTAGTTCAATTTATCTGGGAAATGCCCCGCGTAAATTATATATATTTTCCGGGATATGCCCCGAAGTACTTGTATTTGGAGGCCGAAAACTTGTAGTATTTTTATTTTTATTTTTATTTTATTAGGTGGGAACGACATCGAGCCTCTTGTGTGTTTGTTTTTCTTTTCTGTGTTTGTTTTAGCTCAAGCTGAATATTTTAAAAGCCAACTAGATGGAGTATGCAATTGTGACTCTCACGGGACTTGGGGAGTGCCTAACACCTTCTCCCCGAGTCAAATGAACCCCCTTACCCGAATCTGTGGTGCGGACTTAGTTTGGTGTCCAAAGTGCTTTAAAAGGAAAATTATTTTAAAAAACGGTGACCTGCCACACCGAAACCAATGTCAGGTGGTGACTCTAAATTATTTCCTTTTGAACACAATTTTGTCACTTTTTAATTAAAAACCCTTTCAAGCTTTACAAATCCTTTTATTAATTTTAAGAGGGTTAAGTGAAGTTGTAAAAAAAGGGTGTGACAGCTCTGGTGACTCTGCTGGGGAATTGCAGGATCGAGCTAGTACTTGATCTTGTTGGTTTTTAGGATATTCAGTTGAGGTTTTTATTTGTTTTGTTTGCTTTTTATTTTGTTTATGTCGTTTTGTTTTTTGCTAGTTGCTTATTTGTTTATAGTTTTTCCTTTATGTGTTATTGCTTTATAAATTATCATCATTTGCATAACCCCAGGTCTTCTTTCTGCAACAAGTCTTCCGGAGTACGTTTGAGCGTATACGAACTTTTGTGAGTCACCCGTATCTTTAGGGGGGTGGCGTGGGAGCGTGGAGTGGGCGGACAGCTAGAGTAGCCGCCATCGACCACGTGCCGCCCCGAATTCCCTTGTTAGTGAACCCCAAACATAGGTCAGCCTTTAGGTCATTTTTATTTGCATCATGTCATTTACACCTTTAGGGCTCGGTCCCAGGCACCGTGTCCTTTTGTAGGAAGCCTATCCAAATTTTGTCAAAAATGGGCCCGTGGACCAAAAAGACATTCAATCATCCATATGTGATACATGTTGCATCTTTGAGGGTAAAGAGGTCATTTGGCAGACTGATGCTTGGGAAAAAAATGTGAAAATGAAGCAAATAGGGCCTAGTTATATTTTTCTTTCACAACTTTTTTTAAAAAAAAATCAAAAAAAATGAAGATGAAAAATCCAAAAAGATTTTGCACATTCCCCTCATTTTCCAAAAAAAAAAAAAAAAAAAAAAAAAAAAAAAGAAAATCCAAAAAGATTTTACATTTTCCATCATTTTTCAAAAATACAAAAAAAAGTATATTTTCCAAATTAGTGTCATTTTCGGGGTCTTAGCCAAATCTTGCATGACTAGCCACTTTTGGCCACATCGGTCATTCTCGCAAAATGGGGTCATTTTTGCAAAATTCGTTCAATGACCCATGTCTTAGGATCTTGAGTCCAATACTAGGTGTCATATTACTTTATGGTCCGTCCTTTTGAGTTTGCATCTTTAGCCACTTCTGGCCACATAGGCCGTTTTTTGCAAAAATGGGTCATTTTTGTAAATTAATTTTGGGGTATGATTATTAGAAGTGTGAATCCACATAAGCCTTAGTAAGGTATTTCCATATCTGAGTAGTCACCCTTGTTGAGTTTGCACTTCTAGCCACTCTTGGCCACATAGGTTAATTTTCAAAAATATCCCAATCGTGTCTTGCATGTGTCTAATAGGAGATTTTGTGGCGTGGCATAGTGTCTCGAGTCACTTATCTATTTGGTCTTATTTTTTTCTCATTCAGGTATGAGTTCATTTACTACAGCTCGAGCATGACTGATATCCCTAGACCATTCCAGTCAGGACCGTTGCATGCATGATCTGCTTGAAGGTACTTTTGTGTTTTGAGTCTATTATCCATGTTGTCTTTTACTGTCTAGTATGGTACAGTAGTATTTAGTCTTTTAGTTGGTGTCAGTTTGTCGCAATCTAGTTCAGTTTGTTGAGTCTTTTGTTATCGTACTTCCTATGATGTATTTGAAAATCAAAAAAAATTATAAATGAAAAATCCAAAAGATTTTGTTTCTTAGTTTATTTTGTCCATTTGCTTTTCCATAACTACGCTTCATCTGATTCATGAGGGACATAATACGTAGGCAACCTACATAGGGTTCAATCGAATCATTTTTTTGAAAACCAAAAAAAAAAAGATGAAATTGTGGATGTGAGAAATGAGAGGAAAGAAAAGAGTGACAATTAAAAAGAAAAAGAGAGGAAGGAAGCCATGGCTAGGGAAGATTTGGACACAGGAGTTGTTGATCCGCCGAGGAAGATTGTTGAATTAGAATCAAAACTGAAAGAGGAGGTCCGAGGGTTGAAACATCATATGGCAGAAATGTATCAGGCTTGGATTAAGGGACATCTTCCACCTTCATTCCCTACCAACTATACTGAAAACCATGCTTCCATTCCACCGCTGTCCTAAGCCCAGATTTGCAATACCGTTGATCTTTCCCTTCAATACGCCCCGGGCTTCACCCCTTACAACTCCTACCTCGGCACTTCGTCGCAAATTTTCCATGCCCCACCAGCCAAAACAACCTCATACCCTGCTAAAGTTTAGGAAGCCAATTTTACCTGGGTCAGCACACTTTGTGGGGAAGATGCATGGTAACAGGGAATATGAGAATCCTCTTGGAAATTTGCTTGCTGAAGTTAATGATATGGAAATTGGTGAAGGTCCTAGTAATTTTGATATGCAACCCAGTGGCTATGATGTCGAGGTTGGTAATTTGAAAGACACTCCTTTCTTGGCTAGCCAGGGAGGAGTTTTGGTTGTTTATTTTGATGTCATTTTTGTTGTCCGAGTTATTTCAAGGTTGTAATCGGGATATTGTCTTTTGACTCAAACCCTTCTTCTTCTTATTTTGCCTAGTTCGTTTAGTGGTAGTAACTCATCTAGTAGTATCTAGGATTGTTCCAGGGTTGTAACCCATGTCTATTTTGCATGTTTTGTTCAAACCCTTTTCACCATCTGTCTAATGCAATCTCCAGTTTTCTGTTAGTTCTAGTCAGTTTTTGTTTAAGTCATTTTTCCTTTTATAGTTCCTTTTATACTGACTCTAATGACATGACATGCACACATAATTCTCAGTCTGGTCTCAAAAGTTAGTTTAATCATGAAGCAATGACATAGTTTTGAACATGATAAAAAGAGGCATTTGAGGAAACAAGTAAAGATTTACGCATTCTGAGAAACCTGAAGCTTGAATTGGGTGAAACTGAGGCATTCAGTTTGGAAAATCAAAAAGTTGATTAGAGCATACAAAAAGGGAATGTTTCTCAAGCAGTTTGAGGTAGATCAGTCAGTGTTGAAATGCATAGTTCCACATCAAGATAAGGTTGAGTCAAGTCTACTTCGAACTGGCCAGGGTCATTCATTGAGACAAAGGTATTGCTCATTGGCACTTTTTGTTTGTGTTGATGCCATCAATAGATATTGTGCATGATTTCTTTGCTTATCTTCAGTTGCATGTTTGTACTTGGCATTTTTAAAGTTTGGTATGACGAAAGCATTTTATTCTGCTACCCAAATACTTTTATATTTGCTACCCCTTTTGAGCCTTATTTTATTTTGTTTCATACCCCTTTTGGAATCAGAAGTAGAGTTGGGAACTAGAGAAGAAAAAGAAAAGAGAAAAAGAACAAAAAATAAAAAAAAAGAGAAATAAAAGGAAAAGAAAAAAAAATCAACTTTGTGTTTGAACTACATTCGACCGGATTCTTGTCACCACAAGATACGTAGGCAGCCTTAGGGTTCGGTCACACCAAATAAAGTATTGCATAATCCCCCGAAGTCAAGAGTGTGGCAGTTTGTCTTAGAATCCCAAGAAATAAAAATTCCCAAAACTCCAAGAAATTGGGGCAGAGGTTTTAATTTTTCCAAAAGACCTGATTCCAAAAGTTGTAATTTTGAACCCTTTCATCTTAAATTATTATGAGTCTTCATGCCACCCTTTCTTTTCAACCCTGTCCAAAAGCCTACATTACGGTCCAAAGAAAGACCTTTCGACCAATCTTTGAGGATGCCAAATCAAGTGCGTGGAGAAAGTATAATCTTCTTGTATCATGGGTAATACCTTTGTTCTTAGCACAAAGAGAAAAAATGATAAAATGAGAGAGTCTTATCGGTGAAAACCCTCATGGGCACCGTAAGGCGAAAATGAGTTGAGAAAAGAATAAAATGAGAGAGGCTTGATGGTGAAAACCTTCAGCGCACTACAAGTCGACCGAGGATTGTAGATTAGATGGGACAATTGAAGCGCTGAAGCCCAGTTTCACAGCGAAGAGGTACACAAGAGTTGAATATTAGACTTGATTGAGAGATTAGGCCACTTAATCCAAAGGTGCACGTCATGGTCATTAGAGTTGGTATCCACATCTGATAAGTTTCTACTTTGTAATTTTCTTGTTAGGTATCATCTCTTTCCCTTGTCTCTTATTTTGTTCCTCTTGTTTTGCTTGAGTCCCTTCTTGAGTCTGTTTGGTCAGAATAAGTGAGAAATGACTTCACAATATGCTATCAACTTTCCAATTGCACAAAACGAATTTGGCTAGCACATCAAAGTGGCATAAGTCAGGGAAAAGTGGTATGCGCATTGAGTTGGTAATAATCAACATGCTTTGGGATTCATGTGACATGCAAGGGTGCAGTAAATGCCAATTTATGAGTAAAATGCAACAGATAGAGGATATTGGGATCGAATGGAGCAGAGGTGTTCTCTATGATAAGGGTTGAAAGAAAATGGGTAGTCGATAATAGTCAAGGTCGTCCAAGTTGAAATCAAATTTATCTTGGCAAGTGTAGAAGCAGCCGCCCTCAAGGTCAAGGCCATAAACTAACAATCACATTTAAACTCACAAGTTTTCTTTGTTTGAAACAGGAACAAAGCAATGCAAGCAAGTGGGTTCAAAAACAAGAAAAGAAAAAAAGAAAAAAAGAAAAAAAGAAGAAGAGAAGAATCTACAAAGGGAAGTTTCTCAAATCTTTTTCCTTACATGTCCTGCTAGTGTGCACAAATGTTGCTATTGCTCTTCACATTTTTCCTCCTAGGATAAAAAGTCCTAGTCTGATGGATTTTCATCCCAATAAAAATCTTAGTTTGATGATTTTTTCTCCTAAGATAGAAAAACCTAATCTGATGAATTTGCTCCTAGGATCGAAATCTTAGTCTGATGAATTTTTCTCCTAAGATAACAAAAAAGACTTAGTCTGATGAATTTTCTCCTAAGATCAAAATCTTAGTCTGATGAATTTTTCTCCTAAGATAACAAAAAAGACCTAGTCTGATGAATTTTCTCCTAAGATCAAAATCTTAGTCTGATGAATTTTTCTCCTAAGATAACAAAAAAGACCTAGTCTGATGAATTTTCTCCCAGAATAAAATCATAGTCTAATGAATCTTTCTCCTAAGATAAGAAACCTAGTCTGGTGAATTTCCTCCTAGGATCAAAATCTTAGTCTGATGAATTTTTCTCCTAAGATAACAAAAAGACCTAATCTGTGGTCTCAATTTCATTTTTTATATTTCTTTCTTTATTTTCATTTTTTATATTTCATTTTTTTTTCAACATCCAATCACTTTTTCCCATGTCACCCTTCTAGATAATTCCTCCAACAAACTTATCACACACTACATGGACACGTTATTTTGATTGCACAATAGGGACCACACGGTTTGAACATTTTGCTTCCTCTCCAAGCACAATCTGAGGGGACACATAAAAACTCACCGGCTCTATTCATAAAAAGGGGCTTCATTACAAATTTCAGGAGGGGGGCTGAAGAAACAGGGGAATATAACAAAAAATGTAGATAGAGAAAGCATCAATCGGAAAAGAAAGGCATCAAAAAATACTCTAACTGAATCCGTCTCTTTCTTTCTGTTTAACCGTTGATAACACCCATTTTCCACCTTTAAAAGCATCTCCAAAACTCCAAAAATCAGTAGCCTTCCGTCATCTGCTTTCTCATTATCCCCACCACGAAAACCTCCATTACAACATCTTATTCATCGCCATTAAAATCATCTCTTGAAGCTCCATGAAAATCTACCATAGAACAGCCCCAAAAATACCAAAACAGATCCTACATCAGTCCTCGAGCAAAGAGGTTCGAATTGGTCGAGGTTCATCGAGGTCGCCGGCGTAGTTCACGTTTCTTGTTAGCGGCAAGCAGTAGGATTTTCTTAAATTTTCTCTGTTAACATTATAAATTTGATCTCCGTGAGGTCCAATTCTTTTTCTATTCTCTTATTTCCGTCACTTTCATGTGTGCTTTTGTGGTGAGATGATTTTGATAGTTTGTTTTCTTGACTAATATTAAGTTGGCTGGTACTCTGTATTTGATTGCTGTGGCTCAATATTTTTTTTTTTTTTGGTAAATGTTATGGGTTTTAGTTTGTTCAATTTTAATCCGACATGAATACAATTTTGATTAAGGCAAATGGCTGTGGGGTTGTTCAGACATATTATTTGGGTTCAAACGTGCTTAGAAAAGTTTTGACTTATTTTAATTAGAGAAGGAAAATCGTTTCTTTTGTGTTGGTAAAGTCAAAAGAATGGTTGAATGCATATCTTTTAATTAATGAATAGCTAGTAATATGCGTAGACCGTAGTCACTCGGGTAGGCAAGCCTTAGGCTTTTTGTTAGTTTTGAGGGGAGAGGTCGTTTCCTTAGTTAAATTTATCTGGGGAATACCCCGCGTAAGTTGTATATATTATCCGGGGTATGCCCCGAAGTACTTGTATTTGGAGGCCAAAAGTGGAACTTGTAGTATTTTTATTTTTATTTTTGTTTTCATTTTTCTTTTATTAGGTGGGAATGACCTCGAGCCCCTTGTGTGTTTGTTTTTCTTTTCTGTGTTTGTTTTAGCTCAATCTGAATATTTTAAAAGCCAGCTAGATCGAGTACGCAACCGTGACTCTCATGGGACTTGGGGAGTGCCTAACACCTTCTCCCCGAATCAAATGAACCCCCTAACCCGAATCTCTGGTGCAGACTTTGTTTGGAGTCCAAAGTGTTTTAAAAAGAA